AATCTGGGGGGTGATGGAGTCTTCACATGGGGTGAGTTTCAAACTTTCCTTTATATGGCTTCCAACCTTGCAAATGAACGACCTATTGATGCCAGGACTCAGAGCCGGGAGGACTGTGTGGAATACATCAGCCCAAATTCGCTTCTGCTCGGAAGAACTGGACACAGGGGAGATCCAGAGACCTTTGATTTTAAAGGCTATCCTTACAGAAGATTGAGAATCATCCAAACAGAAGTTGACCGATTCTGGAGGAAATGGAGTCAGTTAGCCGGACCAAATCTGTTTGTCCGGACCAAGTGGCACACCGTTCACAGGAATGTGGCAGTTGGAGATGTCGTCTGGTTGGCTGACCAGAATGCCTTGAGAGGTCAGTTCAGGCTTGCCAGGGTCATTGACGTCAACACTGACAGGAAGGGAATTGTGAGGGATGTATATCTCCGATCCTTCCCCAGCTACCCAGTCGCAACTGTGAAACCGACTAAAAAGATGAAAAAACACTCAACCAAGATACCTGCAACAGTTCTTCACAGGGATGTCAGACGGATAGTTGTCCTACTTCCAGTTGAAGAGCAGCAGTAGCAACAGGACCAAAAATGGAGTAACTAAATCCGACACGTCACAGTTCTGGTGTGACCTCCTTGGGTTGAAGAACCAGGAGGTCAAGTGGGAGGTGTTGTGTCAATTTATGGTTACTTTGCTTTAGTTGTACTGAGCAATCCAAGCCTAGATTCACCCAGGGCTCTCAGGGCACTCCCAAACTGCAGGGGGCAATCATGCAACAAAAGTTGGTGGAACCAACTTTTGGGGAAGTAGCTTTTGGGACTATATTTGCCTGCGCACCCACAGAGAGAGCATGGCATTGAAATGTTTGTAGAGAGTTCGGTTGGTTCTCTCATTTATTCCTGGAAAAGGACACTATGATTACAGCTCCTGATCACTCAAAGACGCAACTGGTAGGACAATTTATGATTGACTGTGTTTGAATATATTGAGTTTTAAATGTTCAGGTTCTGCTTGGATTGTAATTTGCAATTTAAAATAAGTAATGGGGATTTGTTATGTGAATGTTGAACTTTACAGAAGTAACATGTGCATGAGTTTAATTACGGGATTGGTATTTTCTTGTTAAAATCCTAGGTTAGACTTAAGGATCGTGTTTAGTTTGGTTTGAAGATTCAATAGCATTTATTTATTACTTCTGTGAGAAAGTGGTATTGTGATTTATGTGTGACTGATTCATGACTTATCTGTAACTAATTCATGTTTTGGTTTGTGCATTTGAAAGGTTATCAACCTATACCTACTGCCCCACACTGATCTATCAAGTCACATTCAAGAAACTATACCATATTATTCCATCACTGGTCTATCAAACCATCTCAAAGAAAATAAAGAATCAAGAAGTGAAAAGATTGAGTTGTCCTTTGCGTTCTTCAGAGAGAAAAGCAGTTTTCAAGTTTGGGCTGAGCTGTAATCAATTAAAACCACACAGAACTTGACAACGATGGATGGATGGATGGATTGCACCAAAATCACTGTTTAAATGTTTTATATTATAGCCTAAGCCTTGCACTCGGCCAGGATCTGACCCATCTGTTCTTGAAGACATTTTAGAGTGTGTCATTTCCTGGACAATGATTTTAAAATGTTGATAAATCATCCTGCACTCGTGGGCCTTAATTTAGCGTCCAATGAAAAGCTTTCTTAATTTTTATAATGCTGCTGAAAAAAAGGTGTTTCTGGGACTGGGCCCCACTGATTACTGAACAAAAGCACAACATTATTCACTGATTTTGCTGAAACTTAATCATATTTGATGGAGAAAATATTTTCAGGTTTTCTCTCTGGTGTCCCCAGCTGCTCTTCCTCAACTCTGTGATTTACGAGTTCCCTGATGGACACATAGCTTTACTTGTTGCCGTAGTAAGTCAGCTAACTGTGGCTAACTAGTGGCCATTATCTAATTAGCTCAGTTAGCTTGTAAGCCTTATTTCTAAAGTGAAAACCATTCAACGTTTATTAATTTACATTTTTAGCTGATGCTTTTATCCAAAGCGACTTACAATTGCTATTTGTCAGAAGTCGCACACCTCTCAGCAACTAGGGGTTAAGTGTCTTGCTCAGGGACACATTGGTGGATGGGTCACAGTGGGGAGTTGAACCTGGGTTTACCACACCAAAGACATGCACCATCAACATCCCATAACAACATGTAACACAAAACCTAAATACTTACATGATATTTAATTTTCAATTAAGTACCCATTTAGTGTGTTAATAGTTGTAGTATCTGGGGATTGGGGCCGACCATAAATTTGGTTTTCTTAGTATTTAGCACTAACTTCAGGCCATGTAGTGAAACTTGAAGGTGTTGAAAAGCTAACTGAAGGTCATTTATGGCTTGGTTCAGTGAAGGGGCAACTGAATATATCACTGTTTCATCCGCATAAAGGTGCAGTTCCTTTCCAATAGTATTTATAGATATAGAAAATAAAAAAGGGGCTAAAATTGAACCTTGAGGAACACCCTTGGAAATCTCTGAAAAGTCTGATTTAAGACCATCTATAGAAACACATTGCGTTCGCTCTGTAAGATAGTTAAAACAATTTATTGCTGTGTTTCCTATTCCAATATTAATTAATCTTTTTAGCAGTAGCTCATGATCAACAGAGTCAAAAGCTTTGGACAGATCAACAAATAAGGCAGTGCAGTGTTGCTTTTTATCCAAGGCATTTATAATGTCAAGTTGCTGTAACAGTTCTGTGTCCAGCTAAAACCTCACTGTACATCAGTTGGAATGCTGTGCTCTGCCAAGTATTCTTTTAATTGAAGTCTACTTGAGCTTCCAAAATTTTTGCAAGAATAGAGAGTTTGGAGATTGGCCTATAATTGTGAAGATCAGAAGGGTCTCCGCCCTTTAGCAAGGGAAGCACATAGGCTGCTTTCCATAATTTGGGGATTGAATTTGTCTGCAGACTACAATTAAAAATGTATGCTATGCTTAGCTATAATTTCAGCTGCAACCTTTAGAAAGGAAGAAAGGTTCTAGGTTGTCTGGTCCTGATGATGTTTTCAGGTCAATAGCTTTAAGAGCAGTACAGATATCCTCTTTAAAAATGGGTCTAACAACAAAAGTTTCCGGTGGTGTTTCAGTGCTGGAGTCAGAGCAATAAGAACTTGATTTGGTCTCATTGAAAATACAGCCAGCTGATACAAAGTGTTAAAATGTAAACATATCCTTGGTTAGATTTTGCAGAAGCCAGGAACATAAAAAAAACACTCAGAGTAACTCAGCTCAAGCACACAAACAAAGAACCAGGCATTAGCTGCTGTAAGCGATGCTAGAGAATATTTAAGTAAGTCAGTTCGTCACGAACAAGGGAGAAATAACTGCCACATTGTTTCAGAATTAAATCTACAATCACGTTTGGCAATAGCGCAGCCGCCACCACTCACCTACTGTAACATTAAACATACTGCTGTGACCCGGGAGGAAACTGGGGGAGGGCAAAGAAAAACGCCAGTCTCCAAAGACAATTGGGTAGGTTGGTATAGTCATGAATGTTGTCTGGCTTATCTGGACTAAGAGGAGAAGTGATGAGTGAGGAAGTGCAGTGAGGAATGCACAGACCTGTATATTGGGGAGACTAAACAACCACTACACAAACGCATGGCTCAACACAGAAGGGCCAACTCCTCAGGTCAAGACTCTGCTGTCTACTTACATCTGAAGGACAGAGGACACTCGTTTGAGGACCACCAGGTGCACATTTTAGACAGAGAAGATGGATGGTTTGAAAGAGGTGTCAAGGAAGCATCTACACCAGGGTTGAGAAGCCGTCATTGAACAGGGGAGGGGGTCTACGCCACCACTTATCCCCCACTTACAATGCTGTCCTTTCATCACTTCCCAGGAAACTCAACAAACGTAACCTATTGGCCTCAGGTCAAGATACCAACGATGGTCGTTCAGTCTTGGCCACAGGTAGTCCTAACGACTGTAACGACTGTCGTCACAGCAACAAGGAACACTAACGAACCAGCGGTATCGATGACCCGGGCCAACGACCCCACTGAGGTTAAATAGCTGAGTTTCCCTGCCAGTCAGTCAGAACTGAAGAAGTCCTTTGGATGAGGGACGAAACGTCTTCCAGTATCTTCAACCAAGTCCAGTTCCCCTTGACTTTAACCTTCGTTGGATGAGAAGTGATGAGGGCTATTTTTATTATTTAGGTAATGAATTTAACGTGGCAAATGACCAACTCATTGTGAACTCTGTCGTTGTTTCTGTATGCTCTGCTCGACTCTGGTCAGCTGATTGCTTTGTTATCACCAGGGCAGCTGCAGAGCGCTTTCTCATGAAACTATGCAACACTCATGACGTGACTGAAAGATGTGTTTCTCCATTTCTTTTTTAATAGTCATTAATTGGTTATAAATGCAGATACCAATTTAAATGCAATTAGCTCATATTGGCTGATAATATCGCCCGGCCGGGGTCTCTGACTTAATCTGGGACTGCCCAGGTCTGCAGCTCTGTGTGCACCAGTTGGGACATCTGATCTACACTGTGACTATGGGAGGAAGATAAATGGATGCTCAATTTCTATATTTCTTAAAGTGAATTTATTTTTAAGAGATTGGATCTTCTTGAAAGGTTTTCCATATTACCGTTAGTGCCCATGTTTTACTGAACTGTTGGAGGATGTCCAGGCTCTGTAAGCCCTCTCTGGAGGCTGACACGAGAACCAGCTCATCAGCATATGTCAGACATTTGACCTCTGTGTCCTACAGAGTAACACAAGGGGAGATGGACTTTTGCAGCTGTTCTGCAAAGTATTTCTATATATATGATGAAGAGGGTAGGACTCATATTGCAGCACTATTTCACCACCTTGTAGGCTACTGTGAGAAACAATTGATCCTTTTGTTTCTGGCAGCAATGCACCTGGTCTGTCGGAAGAAGAAATACATTATCACTGGGTCTGAAATTCCTCTAAAATCTACGTTTTTAATTGAAAGAACATTATTAAACAGTTAACACAAATAACATTACAGCTCAGATAACTACATAACTCAATGATTCTTTGCAAACTATGTGGTTTCAGCGGAGTCCATAGCAACCACAATAGAACCAAAAGCATTGCAATGCAAAATGTTCCTGGCCAGAGCTGAAAGAATCTTTGTAATAACTAGGCCAACAAACTACAACACATTTATCTCTAGAAAACACAATTTAATGCAGAAACTACCATAAAATATTACATATTACACTGAGAATAAAAGTAGAAGATGTAGAAAAGACAAAAAAGACTAGGACAAAAAAGTTAAGACATCTCACAATTTAAAGCTGTTATTATGAAACTAAAATATTTTGTGCTGTGGACCATGTAGCTATTACACATTTTGATTTTGATGTGATAGTTTTGGAAATATGTCCAGAAATATACAGTGGTTGCGCTTGCAGATTTGCATATTAAAGAAGACTGGACCATTGGCCTTGGCGGAAACCTGCACTTCTAGAGTGCCAATCTAGTTTTATCAGTTAATCCATCAGTGTCCCCATTTCTGAACCATGTCAGGGCCTCAGTGCAGTGATGGACCCTCAGTTGCTCCACACTGACAGTATACACTATATGTGACATGTTTCTTCTGTCTTCAGCGTTCTTTCACTGGTCTTATATGGGTGTGCAGTATATGTATTTGGTGCTCATCACCTTTGTTCTCTTGCCCTTTTATCATATAAATAATGAATACTAAATGATCAGCCACTTTGACACCTCTCTTATCCAGTGTTAACAAAACTCAAGATTAGATGCTGTAAAAAGGTAGCATTGATGACAGGGGCAATATAATCATTAATACTGTATATACAGTATATTAACACTTTGGCTTAGTGTCAGTTTAAGACATAAATGAATCAAGCAATATTATAAACATCTAAAATGCAGCAGGTATTAATAAAAATAAAAAAGAGCAGTAGTCTTCAGTTTGAAGAAACAGTAGAGACTTTTAGTTTTCAATGCACTGCTCAGGCATCGAAGGATGTCCTGATCTGAGGCCTGCTGATTGTCATCTGCGGAAAGATAGAAACAAGAATTATCAAAATGAGAAAAACGTCAATGTGCTTACATAGCACTAAACACTGATCTTCTGTGTTTCTGTAGATGTGCACTGACCGGCTGTGTGGATGAGAGGTCTCCGTGGGGAAGGGCTGGACTGGCAGACTGTGTGTATCCAGCACTAGAAGATGGCATATTGTGTCTATATGCTGTTTGTGATGCGGAGTACATGCTCACTGATGGGCTTGACTGTCTGTTGTCAGGATAGAAAGATGGTACAGGACCTCTGTAATCACCTGCCTCCTCTCTGTGGGTGGCTGTTTCTTCATGTGTGAATGAAGGGTTTTTGTTTCCTAAAAATAGTTTGAAAAGTCAGGGTTGATGGTAGATTCACATTTCACAACACATAAATCTATACCAACCTACAAAGGCAGACTGCAGTAAATACGGAATAATTTAAATTAGACAAAAAGGTCTTTAAAGGTTTCAGGGTAGCAGGCAAAATGGGTGACAGGAAAACAGTTATCCTGTCCATTTTATGTCATTTTATGCTGATTACAGCTAACGGGCTCTAAGTCAGTATACATATCTTGAATCCTTCGACCTCTAAACCTGTTGGAAAGAATTTCACCAAATTTGGTGCCAAAGTAGTATGATGTATTAAGCCATATCGATTGGTGCATGTAGTTGTGGTCTATTAATCGTTACTAGCTTTTTTATGCTGTCATTGCTGTCTGCGGCGTAACCACTGTATATGCAGGGAATGCAGTTGCATAGGGTCCCACAGTCATTGCAGGGCCTGTAATTTACCTCTCAAGTTGGTATAATTTTAATTTACGTGAAGTAATCTGACAACCGATAACCAATATTGTATCCATACAGTGGATCTGTTGTTGCAGTAGGTATTTCTATTAGTCATTGAGTTAAGCCTCTTACTCCATGGTGTCTCTGTCTCACACTTGATTTAATACATATTCAATAATAAAACAATAACATGAAATACTTTGACATACAAACACTCCATTGCCACATAACTCTACAGTAGGTACAACTAAATTAAGTTCAAATAAGGATGAATTCATGGGATTGTATGTTAAAGATGTGTAACGTGGGCCCGCACAGAATTCTAGTTAATATTGATTGACTATCTGCGTAGCAAAATCCACACAGAAGAGTAGCTAGCTAGTGAAGTGACAGCAACTGGGAAATAAACACGATGCGCCTCACTTTTGGAACTACCTCCCCCTATTCATCCGTTCGACAGAGTCCCTATCATCCTTTAAAACTTTGCTCAAAACCCACTTATTTCAAAAGGCCTACCCCACATAACTCCACCTTCCACCAGCTTCATGATGAACTACTTTCTTTTATTTTTTAAATTGTTTTTCTCTATTCTCTATTTTCTCTTAATCTTTTTTTATTTTAACTGTTTTCTGTAAAGTGTCCTTGAGTTATATGAAAGGCGCACACAAATAAAATGTATTATTATATTATTATATATATTATATATATTATAGCAGTCGAGCAAGAAAAAGCAAAGCAACCAAAAATATTCATTTTCCTTAAAAATAAAGACGGAATAGCAGCAAGCAGGAATTGCGAGCAAGAAGAGCTGAAGAGGACACCTGCTGTTAGCAACAGCAGCTCGCCATCTACTGCGGTGATGATGATGAGTAACGTTACATGCCCCTGAAGATCAGCACTAAAACCAGTACCCTTAAAGTGATACCGATATAAATAGAGTACTTCCTTGCATAAATGCCACCTGTGGAAGTCATAGTAGTTGATTTGTAGCCTATTGTTGTTATGGACAAGCAAGGAGATCGATTTCTTTTTTCTTTTTCAAATAACTGTTTTGAAATTGAATCAGATTGCTCCTCATCCAAATAAGATCATCACCAGAGGAAGGACGACAGCTTGGAAGTTTTTTGTATTTGAATTAGAGCCTGAGATCGCAGCTGAAAGTGAGCTGTTAACTTACAACCGGGTGCAGGCATAGCCTAGGGGTACCCATCCCTACCGGTTAGGCTATGTTTTAAGCTCTTATGGTGCTCCAACACCGATTTTGTCAAGTAGGCTTGTCTATCACTGTCTTAGCCTTACTATTATGACTCCTCTTCTTTATAGAATACTGTCTGGTTTCATTTAATTTAGGTGTTGACTATGCAGTGCATTTCGCTGTGGCTGGTCGTTTTAAATCTGCAAGTTTTCAATACTTTAATTTGATACTGACATTATGCTACTTTCTGCATTGGGGCCCCTAGCTAACATGCCAATATGTTACGCCCCTGGCTGTCACACAATTTGCTGTGACCTGGAATGAGCTAGAGACATGAAACTTTTTTGCATAACTGAAAATGATGTGCAAATGCTTTACAAAAAGTAAGATCTTAGTCAGGCTCATGGTCGTGCTATAATTAACAGGCAAAACATTTTAAACTTTGAAAGGCAGCTACCCACAAGCACATTTAGTCCAATTGACTTGAAATGTCAGTGTAACATGAGTTGAATTGGACCAATCCTGATTAAGTCAGCGGAGACATGGGGGACTAGATCCTGAACGTACACACTAAGTTTCGTTTACATCGAATAAAGGGGGGGAAATAGCGAAACTATGAGTGCGCCATTAATGAAAGGCTGCGTACAATGTAATGATGAAACAAGTGTGTCATTGATCTGAGCTAGCACATACTGCTAACACCTGTCATGTGTCACACTGATGTTCTGCAGGCTTCACTTTGGAAAATACAGCAAATACCAAATTGTACCAAAATCAAGTGTATGTGTGTGTGCGAATGTGTGTGTGTGCGTGCGTGTTTATAATATACTACAAACTTACCAGTGCCTGTCAGACTGTTGGATCTGGACCACTCAAAGTCCTCATTCAGCCACTGATTCACAAGCTTTTCTTTTATGTCTCTTTTCCTGCAGACACAGAGGAAATATTTTATCATTTCATTACTTGTAAACCTTTCTAGTCCTCCAACCACTCAAAGCATTTTACTACATGTTACATTCACCCCATTCAAACACTGATGGCAGTGGCTACCGTACAAGGTGCCAACTGTTCATCAGAAATAAACTAATCATTCACACAGGGAAACTGCAGATTGGGAGGGATGGGGATCCGACCACCGACCTTCTGATTAGTGGACAACCCGCTCTACCTCCTGAGCCACAGCTGCTGATATAAAAAGATATATACCTATCTTAGCCATAGACCTTAATTTTTTTCTAAACTGAGAAAAAGCTTTGGATTTGTGGTGACAGTATTCTGCACCTACACAATACTACTAACAATAATTGGGGCGGCTGTGGCTCAGGAGGTAGAGCGGGTTGTCCGCTAATCAGAAGGTCAGCGTTTCAATCCCTGGCTCCCCCTGGTTGCGTGTCAAAGTGTGATTTGGCTGTTCCGCCAGTGTACGAATGAGTGTGAATGTTAGTTTCCGTTTGAGCACTTAGGCTCAGTGTATGAAGGTGTTTGACTGGTGAATGCAGATATAGTGTAAAAGCGCTTTGAGTGGTCAAAAAGACTAGAAAGGCGCTATACAAGTACGGAGCATTTACAAAAGTTCTAACTTTTAACTAAATACAATAAAATATACAATACAGTAGATAACTAATTGATAAGTATAACCATATAGCTAATTTCAATCAGTAAGTACTTACATTTCAAAAACATATGATAAAAAATACACTTACATTTAATCATTATTGTACTAAACTAATACCGCTTTTCACACTGTATAACCTGAAATAGACTTTTTAGTGACAAATTATTATCACTTTATAGTAAGAGAGATTGTTTTCTTATTATTTAATCAAATTCTGCAATCTAAAGCACAAATTAATCTGAAGTACTGATGTCAACTATGTTGATGGTGCAATGGTATAATGTTTAATGTATTTTCCCAGGATGGAAAAGTCAAGCAACAGCTTTTAATTCTCTCCTACTGCACATAGTAACATCATATGTGTAATCAACAGACAGCTGCTTACTGTTTTTGCTTGTTTTTGTTGATCAGTACGTATGCAGTCAAGGCTCCCACAGTCACCAACAGACATACAAGGGTCACACTTAACCCTGCGTAGAAAGCAGTCCTCTGTATAGGTAAGCTACAGTCATCATTCAAGTACCAAGTGGAATTCACATTTTGACACCTGAAACACAGGAGGAAGAGCAAAGTTAAACTATTGCTAAACAAGTTCAATAAAGCAGCACAAAGAAATGTTTCATTAAATGTGTAATATAGCTGCAAGGTGTGATTCCAGATTCAAACCTTTTCATGCTCAACAGAATCAAACGGCTCAGTTACCCAAAACTAAAGCCGTAGGCAGCAATGAGCGGGTTGCAGGCTTCACAAAGCTGAGAAAAGTCATTTCAGCAAGTTTAATTCTGTGAGTGAGATCAATGAGTCTTGTTTCATCATTACACTATATGCAGCGTTTAAATAATTGCACACTCAAATTACTGCTAGTAGACCCTCCCTTTATTGGATGTGAACAAAACTGAGTATGTTCAGGACTCAAGGTTTGAGGGGGGGCAGGTTTTGGTGGGATCGTATTGGTGCACATCATTTCCAATTACAGTATGGTGCCAAGTTTCATGTCTCTAGCGCATTCCAGCTCATGGCAAACTGAGCACAAAAGATAAAGATCAATAGACCACGCCCACATACCCCAATCAAAACGACACTTAGGAATTCGATTAATACTCGCCACCAGAGCAGGTGCACCAAATATGGTGAAGTTATGTCTGTGTGATTTTCGAGGTACATGTTTTTGGCATTTGTGGCAACCTTATGGGTCGTGCTCAAAATCTTGCTCAAGATATCTACCAATATTTAATGATTTTTGGACAAATGTTTATTGACTGCTCTTGCTCACTTAGAATAGAATCTCTCAGTCCTGCAAGTGTATTCCAAATTTGGGGTGGTGATGACATGAAACAAACATGTGACTTTTGTCTGGGAAACGTTTGATTCCCACTACAACACAACATCCACCAATGTGTCCCTGAGCAAGATACTTAACCCCTAGTTGCTCCAGAGGCGTGCGACCTCTGACTTACAGTATTCTGCAATTGTAAGTCGCTTTAGATAAAAGCTTCAGCTAAATGGGAAAATGTAAATGTAAAGATGGTATTGATTTGTGTAAATTTCATTAAATAAAACAATGATTAAATATGTTCCTTTGGAACCTTTGGACTAGGACAAGATGATGACAAGATGGCATTGACGTCCCCAAACATTAACTGTGACCATACCAATGTGTGGTGTAAAAATTCTAAAATTCTCTTAAAGAGACAGAAGACAAAATTTCAGTTTGGAAAAATTAAATTTTTTACAAAACTCTATGTGATTGAAAACAGGAGATGACAAAAGTGTGTGAAACTGTAGTAAACTATAGCTGAACGTTAGAAATGTAACAGCCTCCTCATTTATGGTTGAAACTATAAACCAGCACAAAAATGACAATTAGCATACCAACATCAACCACCATGTTCTGAGAAGACACATTACAAACACTAACATAAAGTAATATTTGCATTTTGGAACATAAACATTGTTAAGGTGAACTGCAACACAGTCACCTTCATTTCTGTAAATAAATCCGGATGTGTGTCCTTGAGGTACTTTGCTAATGTGGAACTGTTTCCTCCTTTAGTCTGAAAAGTTCATACTGAATACTACTGCAAACTGGTTTTTGCGAATTTATAACTAGTCCCTGATAATCCACCTCTCAGGCAAAGTACTTTCATGCAGTATTCTTACTGTTTTTCTTTTCAACGAGTCTAAATCTTCCACGTGTTGGATTCCCGTTACCTATGGTACCTTTGGTACCAAGAGCAATGAGCAAGCACCGATGTGTTTTAGTCCATAAATGACAATTGCGCATCTTTTGGCCATGAGTCGGCAGGGTACACAATGGATTCTTAGTAACTACGGTGACTATGTGTCTTCTTTTTCCCGGACATGTCCTCTTTTTGGGACCTACAAAATATGTCCTGCCGGGATTTGTAAATTGCCCAAAATGATTTGATTTTTTTAGTTATTGTGTGGGTTTTTAAGAAGATATTTTATTGTCACATACATGTTGCAAAATTCATTCTCTGCATTTAACCCATCCCTCAACGGAGCAACAGGCAGATGTGAAGATGTTTATCATTATCTGGTTACTGGCACTGATTGAAGGACCCAACATGTTTTTGTTGTTGGTGGAAGAAACCCACACAGACACAGGCAGAACATACAAGCTCCACACAGAAAGGCCAGGATGACTGAGTCTTGAACCTGCGTCCTTCTTGCTGTGAGGCCACAGTGCTATCCATTGAACTTTATCTTTATCTACCAATCACAGCCTGGGGTGGGACATTTCAAAAAGGTTGTTGTGGTGCAACAGCAAACGTCCAAAAAGAACCATTCATGTAGAATGGTTCTGATTAATGACAAGTTAGCACAAACAAAGTAGAAAAGCAGGTGTGATTTCTTTGGCGCAGTGAATGCCTGTAAAGACCTGATACATAACAAACTTGGAAAAATATGCAAACATTAGTTTGTTCATTACTTTGCAGCACTATTTGTACGGTATGAGGTGACAGGGAATTGAACAAATGCTGTTATTGTTCTGTTTATTACACAAGAAAGTTTATAAAAGCAACAAACTGAATGAACTTACTCGCAATAAGGTCCAGTGCTGCTGAATACGTTGCAGATTCCCTTATTGTAGCATTTTTTATGATGTGAATGTTGACTATTACATGCAGTCACACAAATGATCTTTCCTTCAGCAGACACAGGTTCGTAGAATTCAGCAATGTCTGGATTGTCCAAAAGCCTTTCGCATAAAGCTGGTAAGAGAAACAAAGACATAAAGCATTATAGCCTAAATTGTTATCATGAATTATTAGAGCGATGGTGGTCTACATTGCCATCAGTTAAAGTGTTATTTTATCATGTAAAGTTAGGATCACAGTGTTAAAACTGTATGCACTCCTTTTTGTATGTAACTGCCCAGGCTCAGCAGTAGCACATGTATGTGTGTAAGCAAGCACGTGTGCTTTGGGAGCAGAGTGAGGGAGCACAGTAACACAGCACCAAGACACCAGCAAAGGAAAATGTAGAAGCAGAATTAGTGAAAATTGTGTTACAAAACATCCATCAATATAGTCCATCACAGTTAGAATGTCCTGTCTCCAGCACACAGCACAAAAGACACCAGCTTATTCCACAAAGTCAGGTTATGGTTAAAAATAGCATGATCAGCAGAGGGCATGCCTAGGACACAGAGAGGGGGAGCAGTGCAGACATCAGTGCAGTCAAAGAACAGTCATCACTGATTATTCTGAATTATTTTAATCTTTTTACATTACCTAGATGTGCCTTATTTTCTACTTAGAAGTGGTGAACTGTAGTCATGAACACAGAAACAAGCTCACTGTGGTTAGATCCTTGAGTGGGAGCATTGACTGCAGACACTGAGACTATGCATGCCTTGTCCAACTGTCATCTACTGTAGATTATGACTGCAGGAGAGGCTGCAGGTGTTCAAAATCTGCTGACGCTGTGACAGTGCATGCTTCGCTCTGCTGTTATTTATTGTTGTTATGACTGCATGAGGAACTGTTGATGTATTAGTCTGCTGATATTAAGACTACATGTTTACTTACTGATTAAGGGTTTGACTGTCAACTTCCAACCTCTGATTATTACAGCCTGTGTGAACTTTGAGCGAACGTGCTGAAGGAATTTTTGCTGAACAGAAAAGGCGACAGATGCTTGATAAATACGCGTCAGATAGTGAATGACAAAAAAGACAGATAGATGATAAGCAGAAAACAGCCAGCACAACATCAAGATTACTGTAAGAAACCAAGCATTAATGAAAGATACAGCATTACATATGTTATTCTTGTATTAATTTTTGAGGAAATACAATTGTGTGTCAAATTATGCATGAAAACTTCAAAAAAATACGGTGAGACTGAAGTCGAAATGTAATGGAGAACTTCTTATCCAGTAATGTAAAAATATAGAAAACCAACAACACAGTAATGAATGACAGCAGAAAACAGTGTTAATTTGTAAAACAACACATGTAAGCGGCATGACAGCAGAGGATAAGAAGTTCACCATAGGGAGAGTAGGGGGGAAACCAGCCCAGAGGGGGATATATAAGGCTGTCTGCAGACCACAGGATTGACACCATCCTCCGACCTGCCGGGATGTTGTACGGGTTTATCTGTCCTGTATTGGAATAAACTCTTTTGCACTGACTCTTGACCGTCTCCAGATAAGTTTTTGACTGCAAACTTATTGACTATAGTAGAAAGTTAATAGAGTATTTTTTGTTAGTAAGTTTAAAAAGCTGGTGAAGGTGGGACTAGACTTTAACTGGCCCAGCCTGGTCGTACAAGTTCAGTAAGCGCACTGTCAATAGCTTTGCAAATATGCATTTACACTTCCCTCCAAAGTTCCCTGATTACAACGACTGTAGGCCAAAGAGAAACTGTTGAAAGTGGCACACAAATGTCACAGAATGAGACACCTGAATTTCAGCTGCACCTGTATCTACCTGTGCTCGATACTCTCATCAACGAACTGGACCGACGATTCACGGGAGAGTCAATAGAACTTGCATGGGAATGTGCAGCAGTGTGCAGATGTGACAAAAATGGAATTGAAACTCTCATTTAAAAATACGCACAGCTGCTAAAAATTCTCCCTTTCCTTGTTGGAGCAGAGATGGAGCATGTTACTGTCGTCCCTGTTTCACTTAAGCATATTCAAAAGACTGTTAAAAAGGACAGCTGTTCAAATCTCTACAAGATGCTCCAGTTGGCAATGACTCTGCCTGTTGGATCTGCCACCTCTGAGAGAATTATTTCTGCAATAAGGAGAATTCCGAACTGGCTGTAGTCAAAGATGGGAGACATAAGGTTCATTACTTGCGGTTCTTCACATTGAGGACAACATTACAGCAATGCTATCAAAGAGTACATGAAATGAAAGCCTAACTGTAGTCTGCAATTTAAACAACATGATATTTTACTTTAAATAGACTTAACTTTATGGTTAGGCTTCAGTGGTGTGTGAAAGCAGTCGCCAGTCAGTTAGTAGTTTATTTGAGGATTTTCAGTCAGCACTGGTGAAAATTACTAATGACCTTCTAACTGCATCAGACAAAGGACTTGTCGCTGCATTCAACACCATTGACCACCATATCTTGTTACAGAGACTGAAACATTTAATTGGCATTAAAGGAGCCGCTCTAAGCTGGTTTAAGTCCTATTCATTAGATTGATCTCAGTTTGAACATGAATGCTCCATGCACATCAAAGTTAGTCAGGTTCTGTGCTTGAACCAATCATGTTCACTTATATATGATTCCTTTTGATAATATTATCAGGAAATACTCCATAAACTTTCATTGTTATGCAGATGATACTCAAGCCAGATGAAACTAATCAGTTAGCTAAACTTCAAGCTTTCTTCAGGATGTAAAAACCTGGATGACCTGTAATTTTCTGATATTAAATTAAATAATCAAACTGAACTTAGTGTACTTGGGCTCAAACACATCCGAGACTAAAGATGTAATTACTCTGGATGGCATCGCCCTGGCCTCCAGCACCACCGTGAGGATTCTCTGAGTTATCTTTGATCAGAACATGTCCTTTAATAAAACAAACTTCAAGGACTGCCTTTTTCACTTATGTAATATTGCAAAAATCAGGACTAGTCCACGCATTTGTTACTTCTAGGCTGAATTACTGCAATTCTTATTATGCTGCTAGAATATGTTCCTTAAGACTCTTCTTAAGGTGATCCAGAATGCTGCAACGTGTGTACTGACAAGAACCAGGAAAAGAGATCATATTTCTCCTGTATTAGCTTCTCTGCACTGGCTCCCTGTAAAATCCAGAATGGAATTTAAGTTGTTAAGCGACAGAAATTAAAGACAGTTATGGCGCCAGTATCGAGCAGGAGCTGGACGATCAGTTAACATAATCAGCTCTGCAGCTTTTTTGGACATAATGTTAACTAATTGCAGAGTTAAAGAGACTGATAAGGACAATGATGGAGCAAGCTATGAAGAGAAGAAGAGAGCATAACCGAGACCAGTTGGCAAGCTATCCAACAAATCAATCACAAGTGTTATCTAGCAATTTTGGTAACATGAAACTGAGATTCATCGCTTACAACTAACCCTCTCCGTTTTGTACAGCATTACGATGTTCTCATGATAGAAATTGTGCCCAGGATTTCAATCCTACATAGTGCCATAGCGGCAATGATAGTGACATCATTCACCCTATAACCAGTCAGTGTACCATCAACATGATTTTGAAGCAAATACAAATACAAATACTACATGATGTTGCTTTAAATGTATTACTGAATCATTTAAGCAGGAAAATATGAAGTCTCAAAGCAAATTGGACCATGTGCGAAATTCATGACAGATTATGTCAACAGTTATGTGAAAGAAAATGTAGGAATTGGAATAGGTATTTGGTGACGAGCATGTCAATAATCACTAATGAATTTCATGTATGCATACACTCAGAGCAGTAATACTTACATCTCAAATCTGTTTCTGTTGTGTTCACTTTGGGCGGAGATATGACACTGTAAGGACAATCTGAAAATTCAGAAGACAAAAGATTACTTGCATTATGAATACCACAATATCTTAAAACGTGTTTTTAATCAGAGGAAAAAAAGAAAATGGTTTAATCCAACGTAATGTTTGTTGCTAATGAAGCGTTTGGTTTGTGACTAGTGCATGCTGTACACTATATGATTATGTACACTTACCTCCCGTGCAGTTAACAAGTTCGTAAACAGCTTCCTTAATGGATTTGAAATCGTCCATATATAGTTGTTCAGAGCTGGCATTGTTTGGAATAAACAAAATCACGTCGTGTGTGACTCTAACACTGAGGCAGAAAGAAATTCATACAGTTTAACACCTTGCACTCTACAGCAGATTACTGTAACTTTATGATTTACTTAGCTGTAACCAGTTCCTGAACTGCATATTGTAACATAATGAATGCTTTGTATATCGTGATGTAGTGTACTATTTTTTAAATTATTTTTACTAAATGAATCTCAAATGTCAAATCTCAAAGGGTGTTTTTTTCCTTGCTGGAATCCCGAAGAGAAGATTTTTTGTTAGGTTGCTGAGATTAAAGTTCAAACTCATTCATTGGGGGCTTACCTGTGGGTATCATATTGAGCACTGAATGTATAATACACTGTTGTGAGCTTCAAATTCTTGTGTGCTTTGTGTACTTTGTTGTCTGCAAGGGCGCAGAATTTAGTATGGACATGTCCCTACCTTTCTCCCACTTGGAGAAGTTGTTACATTAAATATCTGACCATGATTTATCTGAATTAATTGACATGAGAAAAAAATAGGAAAGGCCAAGATGGAAATCAACCACTTGTCTTCCAGCAGTGTCAAGTCTGATTTGGGTACATTTGGTTAAGCCTTTGTTCCTCACTTTCAGGCTGAAATAGGTGTTTACTAACAATAATAAAGATAGAAATAATAGTATATAACTTCACCAACAAAGCATATTTTGAATTAAAATACAATGGCTTAAAGTGCCATCCCAAGCAATCAAATCTAATTCAATGTATTAAAGTGCTTATTCAGTGCTTATTCAGTGCTGTACCTCGTGCGGGACAACATAGCAGGGTGACACTGACTGTACAACAAGAAGGGGCCCTACTAAAGTGCAGAGTCATGGACAAATTATTTTATAACTGTCTGTATACACACACATTGTTAGGATTAGGTTTTGTGCTGTTGTTTTTCCTGTGTTTATTTGATATTGTCATGGTTTGGAGTTTTGCAGTCTAGTTTATTATTTTGGCTCATTCGCTTTAAGTTTTCTTTGTAACTGTCTTATCTCTCATCTTAGTCCTTAGTCTTATCTCCATGTTTTAGGGTAGTCTCGTGTCCTGTTTGGTCTCGTCTCTGTCTGTGTCCTGATTTTGCTGTCTTTCCATGTTTTTGCATTTTACTTTGGTAGATCTGTCCTTGTGTGTTCCTTTCCTGTTACTTTACTTTCTGTTTATTTTGGTAACCTTCTTTACCTGGTGTCCTTGTCTAGCTTTGTCTGATTACTTGATGTATCTCAGCTGTGCTTCCCTCCCTGCTCGTTTACCTGTGTATATATTGTCCCCAGTTTTCTTCAGTCTTTGTCACGTCCTTGTATTGTCTGTATTATCTGCATTATCTGCGTCGTCCGTGTTGCGTGTTCTGTGCCTTCCCTGCCCTTTTGGATTACTTCATTGGTTTGTACTTTGTTCACGGATTCTTCCCTTTGGATTATGTTTTGTTTGGAGTTGGAGTTCCCTTTTGTTTGAACATTTGCCGCTGAGCTCCCAGCGTTAGCCTGTTTGTCTTTTTGTAAATAAATCTTTGTTTGAACTGCATCCTCCTCACCTACGTCTGCATTTGGGTCCACACCTCTGCCTTCACTCTGCCAATCATGACACACGTACTCACATGTATAAGTAATACACTAATAAAGAAACAAACATCACACACATACATAAAAAAAGAGGTCAGTTGAGCCATCGTTTGACATGAGTCTTAAATGTCGGGTAAGTCGGACATTCCCTTATTTTGTCGATTATCCCAGAGAAGCCAGAGACGCTTTAAAAGTTTCAGATTTATGAAACCTTTTTTTTTATATTAGAATTAAGCTACTTTCTAGCAATATTGACAGTAAGAGATTGGGAAACTGATTTAGTCCAGATTTGACTGTTGCATGACTCATTATAGAGTCGGACCGAATTTCAAGGTCATACATGCTTTCATATAATCTCTTCTTGAATTCATTATATTTAATTTATAGTCATTATATTTAGAAACTTACCCGAGGATCTGTCGTTTGCAGAATCAGTAATGTCACAGTAATATATCCATTTACACCATGTTTTATTTGTTTATTTTACCTTTTTTTTAAAAATCTTTTTTATTGTATTTGGGTTCATTTGTATTTATTTATAGAGTTACATTTTTTCTTTCTATATTCTTCTTCTGTATTATAGAAACACACTTGTTCATTCTTAGCAGTGTTTCTCAATTTGCACATTTTAATGCCACAAATGTGTTATAAAATGGTTGTATGTGTTTCTCAATTTGCTTGTGTTTTGCCTATTTGCATTGCATGAAGCTCTCTCAGCTACCATAGAAGCACCATAGCAGGTTGTATAAGCAGTGTTTATGTACCAAAACCACACATTTCTGTGGAATCTACTTGTGCAAAGAAAGTAGTGAAATGGACTTTTCCTATGGCCAACGGTCTGCCAACACAGACAGTAGTTTTCAAGTCATAACACTTTTGCTCGATCCCTGTGGACGTGTTTTCTCTCCCCATCTCACTCTCTTTCTTTTTTCTTTCTATAATTTGGCAATGAAAGCAAGTGGGCACTTTCGCTTCTTGTCTCAACCTAAACGTAAAATCATTAAAGGTGTCTGTGCTATAATTACCCTTCGGCGCTTGGTGCGATACTGTAGACAATCATGGCTGATAATCTCATCTGAAAAAAAAAAAGAAATAACAATTAATCGCTAAAAATAACTGATCTCAGATTCAATATCTTGTTGGCAAGGTGTTTTAATTGATTTACCTCTTCAACAGTGTTGTCTGAGAATCGGACTGAAGGACCGCCACGGCTAAGAGAAAAGAACAAGAGAGAAACGTTCATTAAAAAGCACTTGGCAATTAATCACCGTCATATTTAAACAGAAACATTTTGTACAAACAAAATAACTTTATTTGTATATGTATTTGTCTGTATTTGTATATAATGCCTTTCTAGGCCTTTCGACCACTCAAAGCATTCATACACATTCACACACCGATAGCACAGCCACCGGGAGCAATTTGGGGTTCAGTATTTTGTCCAAAGACAGTTTGACATGCAGACTGGGGGAGCAGGGGATTGAACCACCAACCTTCTAATAAGCGACAGCCCCCCTAAGCCGCGGCTGCCCCCAGTGAAATCTGGAAAAATACATTGAGTTTTGTTTCTGAAAGATTGTAGAAGTATTACCTGACACTAGTTACCACCACTTCTTTAAAGTTTGCTATCTTCTTTCCCAGGTAATATGTTTCCATCTGAAATAGCAACAACATAACATAAATATAATAAAAATAGAATTTCTATAGAATGGAGGAACAATGGTCATATAAAATGTCATATGTGTATCCTTGATCATTTATCCAACTTCAGATGAACTTTGTCTGTACTAAATGGAGTAGTGTAAAATCCCCAGTAAATGAGCTAAGGCTGACCAGGTTCATTGAAATGCCACCAAGATCAAAACATGGCGAACCATCATTCCCAATCATATTGCAACGTCCACCAAAACAATTGCAACATTACTATGAGCCTTATCGCTCTGCCCAAGTACAGAGTCAACAACACAGAAAGTTACATAAACACAGAAAGTTACACAAATACAGAAATTTACACAAAAAAGTTTCACTTTACTAAGATTTGCTTATCTTGGTCACTTGCCAAAAATCTAAAATCAAAGCAGTTGCAATAATTTAAAATATGATTTCTGGTTCAGCCCACTACATTTGATAAATGCAGATTTACTCTCGTGCTTTTTCTACAGTCACTACACAACTAGTTTTGTAAAGTCCCCAATGTTACAACATACTGCCACACTTAAACAATAGCATATATGTTGCTGTATCTTGGAATTACAGAAAATAAATACAGAAATAAATAAATGGTCAACAAATAAATAAACATCCGATTAAATGCACAAAAATACAATAATTATTATTGGCAGTTATTTTTTTATTTGTGTGTTTTAGTGTTTTAGTTTTTTTCTCCCTTTGCATTTTCTAGCCGATTTATCGGCTCCCCTTTTTCCATCTCAAGGTCAGGTTAAGAAGCTTTGCTCCTTATGGATGGCTTTCTTCAGTGAGGTGATCAGTGAACTGAAGCGTTTAGCAATTCTACCAGCCATGTCTTATTACTTTTTTGCGTGTACGCTCTGACAGACAGTGTTTTCAGTTTGCGGCATACATGGACAAAGAACTGCGGTAAAATTAGCTGTTGTTTGTGGGAAACACACTGACCACAACCAGCAGCAGCAAAATCCACACGTATTTGGCCCTTTAAGTAAATGCAGTTAAACAGAGCAGAGCTAGCTGACAGGCAGGGTTAGAGACTTTATCCTGTCATTTTCTCAGTGTTCAGCATGACGGTTAAATTTCAGATTGAATGTAGGTTTTGCTGAAACAGAGTTGCTCTGTGTTGGTGCACTTACCGTAAAGGCTCAAATACAAGTGCACTCCAGATTTAGGTGTGGCTAGCTGACCATGTGGTTCTCACAAACAACAGCTTACTTTCCCGCAGTTCTTTGTCCGTGTATGTTGCTAACTGAAAACACTGTAAGTTAGAGTGTCCATGCGAAAAAAAATGAAGACATGGCTGGTAGTGTTGTTTTCAAATAGTGTTGCTAAACACCACAGTTAATGGAAGGAAGCCATCTCTTGTTGTCAACTTTGTTGATGTGTGCACGTAGGGTCAACCCCTGCCATCTGACTGGTGGTCAACCAATAGGCGAGAAGTTGACCCCTTGAGACACAGTCCCCCCTCATTTGCATAATGAGGCAGAAATGCATAGAGAAACAGAAAAGGGGGAAAGCAAGGAGAGGTAGAAAATGCAAAGGAAGAATAAAACAGACAAAAATATTAACACAGACATAAATAAATACATTTTAAAAAGAAATAATTAATAGATAGAGTTGATGATTATTATTAAAGGACAATAAATAAAAATGGAAATTATTACAAAGGTGAATAAATAAACAAGCTAATCCAAAGAGATATATACATGTATGTCTTATTGTATAATTTAATTCATGCCTACATTTATTTATTTACTATATTTTTTTATATTTAATAGGATTTTTATTTATTTATTCAACATTTATTTATTTCTGTATTTATTTTCGATTATGTCAAGATCCTTCCTCCTTAGGCCAGTACCTACACTGTTATAAAACACTCATCCAATTAGTTTACCTGTTCTGTGAAGTTTCCAACAAACTCTTTGTATTCAGTTGATGTTTTATCTTCATATTTTTCATTAAAGGTCTGATCGATCACCATATTAATCGCAACTGACCTGTTGAGTGCAACTGCAAAAGAGAATCAAACATATTGGACACCATAAATGAAAAACTGAGGACAATGGCTAATAAAAAATTGTGATCAGTATATTTTAGTCATACAGAAATTGCAAGAATTTGACAGTACCTGGCTCAAAAGATTCAATGAATTGACAAAATTTTCCAGTGAATCCACCAAGACATGTGCAGTTGAATCCATTAAAATATCCCCCATTTTGGCACTTGTAGGGCTCTACTGTTGTGACTTCTGTTGGAGTGGCAGGTGGTGTTGTTGGTACTGTGGTTGGTGCTTTGGTTGATGGTATGGTTGTTAAAGTAGAGGATGGTCCAGTAGGTAGGTCTGTTGGTGTTATGTTTGGTGTTCTGGTAGTTGATTCTGTTGCAGGTGAGGATGTTGGTCCAGTTGGATGGGTAGATGGTGAGTTTGTTGTAAAGGTGGCTTCAGCTGATGATGTAGTCTTAGCATATTCAGATGTGACTGAGGTGGAGGATGTACTAGCAGGCACAGATGATATGCTCCCTGTAGAACCTGTTGGTTGAGGAGGTGAAATTGTCTCTACACCTGTGGATTCAGATGCGGATGTGGTACTAGTTGGTTCAGATGTTACTGTATCTGTAGAACCTGTAGATCCGGATTGCATTGTGGTCTCTGCAGGCTGTGATGTTAATGTGTCTGTCTGAGCAGTTACGTCTGGTAATGTGGTTGTCTCAGCAGGCTCAGCGGTTGTTATGTCAGTGGGATTGGTTGGTTCAGGGACAGACGTTGTCACAACAAGTCCAGACGTAATTGAATCAGTATGACCTGTTAATTCAGGTACTGAGGTGGTACCAGCAGGCTCAGAGGTTAATGTGTCTGTTGGACCTGTAGGTTGAGATGTTGATATGGTCTCCGAAGGTTGTGATGTTAATGTGTCTGTCTGAGCAGTTACGTCTGGTAATGTGGTTGTCTCGTCAGGCTCAGCGGTTGTTATGTCAGTGGGATTGGTTGATTCAGGGACAGACGTTGTCACAACAAGTCCAGACGTAATTGAATCAGTATGACCTGTTAATTCAGGTACAGAGGTGGTACCAGTAGGTTCAGATGTTACTGTATCTGTAGAATCTGTAGGTTGAGATGTTGATAGGGTCTCCGAAGGCTGTGATGTTAATGTGTCTGTCTGAGCAGTTACGTCTGGTAATGTGGTTGTCTCAGCAGGCTCAGCGGTTGTTATGTCAGTGGGATTGGTTGGTTCAGGGACAGACGTTGTCACAACAAGTCCAGACGTAATTGAATCAGTATGACCTGTTAATTCAGGTACTGAGGTGGTACCAGTAAACTCAGAGGTTAATGCGTCTGTTGGACCTGTAGGTTGAGATGTTGATAGGGTCTCCGAAGGCTGTGATGTTAATGTGTCTGTCTGAGCAGTTACGTCTGGTAATGTGGTTGTCTCGTCAGGCTCAGCGGTTGTTATGTCAGTGGGATTGGTTGGTTCAGGGACAGACGTTGTCACAACAAGTCCAGACGTAATTGAATCAGTATGACCTGTTAATTCAGGTACTGAGGTGGTACCAGTAGGCTCAGAGGTTAATGCATCTGTTGGACCTGTAGGTTGAGATGTTGATAGGGTCTCCGAAGGCTGTGATGTTAATGTGTCTGTCTGAGCAGTTACGTCTGGTAATGTGGTTGTCTCGTCAGGCTCAGCGGTTGTTATGTCAGTGGGATTGGTTGGTTCAGGGACAGACGTTGTCACAACAAGTCCAGACGTAATTGAATCAGTATGACCTGTTAATTCAGGTACTGAGGTGGTACCAGTAGGCTCAGAGGTTAATGCGTCTGTTGGACCTGTAGGTTGAGATGTTGATATGGTCTCCGAAGGCTGTGATGTTAATGTGTCTGTCTGAGCAGTTACGTCTGGTAATGTGGTTGTCTCAGCAGGCTCAGCGGTTGTTATGTCAGTGGGATTGGTTGGTTCAGGGACAGACGTTGTCACAACAAGTCCAGACGTAATTGAATCAGTATGACCTGTTAATTCAGGTACTGAGGTGGTACCAGTAGGTTCAGATGTTACTGTATCTGTAGAATCTGTAGGTTGAGATGTTGATAGGGTCTCCGAAGGCTGTGATGTTAATGTGTCTGTCTGAGCAGTTACGTCTGGTAATGTGGTTGTCTCGTCAGGCTCAGCGGTTGTTATGTCAGTGGGATTGGTTGGTTCAGGGACAGACGTTGTCACAACAAGTCCAGACGTAATTGAATCAGTATGACCTGTTAATTCAGGTACTGAGGTGGTACCAGTAGGCTCAGAGGTTAATGCATCTGTTGGACCTGTAGGTTGAGATGTTGATAGGGTCTCCGAAGGCTGTGATGTTAATGTGTCTGTCTGAGCAGTTACGTCTGGTAATGTGGTTGTCTTGTCAGGCTCAGCGGTTGTTATGTCAGTGGGATTGGTTGGTTCAGGGACAGACGTTGTCACAACAAGTCCAGACGTAATTGAATCAGTATGACCTGTTAATTCAGGTACTGAGGTGGTACCAGTAGGCTCAGAGGTTAATGTGTCTGTTGGACCTGTAGGTTGAGATGTTGATATGGTCTCCGAAGGCTGTGATGTTAATGTGTCTGTCTGAGCAGTTACGTCTGGTAATGTGGTTGTCTCAGCAGGCTCAGCGGTTGTTATGTCAGTGGGATTGGTTGGTTCAGGGACAGACGTTGTCACAACAAGTCCAGACGTAATTGAATCAGTATGACCTGTTAATTCAGGTACTGAGGTGGTACCAGTAGGCTCAGAGGTTAATGCGTCTGTTGGACCTGTAGGTTGAGATGTTGATAGGGTCTCCGAAGGCTGTGATGTTAATGTGTCTGTCTGAGCAGTTACGTCTGGTAATGTGGTTGTCTCGTCAGGCTCAGCGGTTGTTATGTCAGTGGGATTGGTTGGTTCAGGGACAGACGTTGTCACAACAAGTCCAGACGTAATTGAATCAGTATGACCTGTTAATTCAGGTACTGAGGTGGTACCAGTAGGTTCAGATGTTACTGTATCTGTAGACCTGTAGGTTGAGATGTTGATAGGGTCTCCGAAGGCTGTGATGTTAATGTGTCTGTCTGAGCAGTTACGTCTGGTAATGTGGTTGTCTCAGCAGGCTCAGCGGTTGTTATGTCAGTGGGATTGGTTGGTTCAGGGACAGACGTTGTCACAACAAGTCCAGACGTAATTGAATCAGTATGACCTGTTAATTCAGGTACTGAGGTGGTACCAGTAAACTCAGAGGTTAATGCGTCTGTTGGACCTGTAGGTTGAGATGTTGATAGGGTCTCCGAAGGCTGTGATGTTAATGTGTCTGTCTGAGCAGTTACGTCTGGTAATGTGGTTGTCTCAGCAGGCTCAGCGGTTGTTATGTCAGTGGGATTGGTTGGTTCAGGGACAGACGTTGTCACAACAAGTCCAGACGTAATTGAATCAGTATGACCTGTTAATTCAGGTACTGAGGTGGTACCAGTAGGCTCAGAGGTTAATGTGTCTGTTGGACCTGTAGGTTGAGATGTTGATATGGTCTCCGAAGGCTGTGATGTTAATGTGTCTGTCTGAGCAGTTACGTCTGGTAATGTGGTTGTCTCAGCAGGCTCAGCGGTTGTTATGTCAGTGGGATTGGTTGGTTCAGGGACAGACGTTGTCACAACAAGTCCAGACGTAATTGAATCAGTATGACCTGTTAATTCAGGTACTGAGGTGGTACCAGTAGGCTCAGAGGTTAATGCGTCTGTTGGACCTGTAGGTTGAGATGTTGATAGGGTCTCCGAAGGCTGTGATGTTAATGTGTCTGTCTGAGCAGTTACGTCTGGTAATGTGGTTGTCTCGTCAGGCTCAGCGGTTGTTATGTCAGTGGGATTGGTTGGTTCAGGGACAGACGTTGTCACAACAAGTCCAGACGTAATTGAATCAGTATGACCTGTTAATTCAGGTACTGAGGTGGTACCAGTAGGCTCAGAGGTTAATGTGTCTGTTGGACCTGTAGGTTGAGATGTTGATATGGTCTCCGAAGGCTGTGATGTTAATGTGTCTGTCTGAGCAGTTACGTCTGGTAATGTGGTTGTCTCAGCAGGCTCAGCGGTTGTTATGTCAGTGGGATTGGTTGGTTCAGGGACAGACGTTGTCACAACAAGTCCAGACGTAATTGAATCAGTATGACCTGTTAATTCAGGTACTGAGGTGGTACCAGTAGGCTCAGAGGTTAATGCGTCTGTTGGACCTGTAGGTTGAGATGTTGATATGGTCTCCGAAGGCTGTGATGTTAATGTGTCTGTCTGAGCAGTTACGTCTGGTAATGTGGTTGTCTCAGCAGGCTCAGCGGTTGTTATGTCAGTGGGATTGGTTGGTTCAGGGACAGACGTTGTCACAACAAGTCCAGACGTAATTGAATCAGTATGACCTGTTAATTCAGGTACTGAGGTGGTACCAGTAGGCTCAGAGGTTAATGTGTCTGTTGGACCTGTAGGTTGAGATGTTGATATGGTCTCCGAAGGCTGTGATGTTAATGTGTCTGTCTGAGCAGTTACGTCTGGTAATGTGGTTGTCTCAGCAGGCTCAGCGGTTGTTATGTCAGTGGGATTGGTTGGTTCAGGGACAGACGTTGTCACAACAAGTCCAGACGTAATTGAATCAGTATGACCTGTTAATTCAGGTACTGAGGTGGTACCAGTAGGCTCAGAGGTTAATGCGTCTGTTGGACCTGTAGGTTGAGATGTTGATAGGGTCTCCGAAGGCTGTGATGTTAATGTGTCTGTCTGAGCAGTTACGTCTGGTAATGTGGTTGTCTCGTCAGGCTCAGCGGTTGTTATGTCAGTGGGATTGGTTGGTTCAGGGACAGACGTTGTCACAACAAGTCCAGACGTAATTGAATCAGTATGACCTGTTAATTCAGGTACTGAGGTGGTACCAGTAGGCTCAGAGGTTAATGTGTCTGTTGGACCTGTAGGTTGAGATGTTGATATGGTCTCCGAAGGCTGTGATGTTAATGTGTCTGTCTGAGCAGTTACGTCTGGTAATGTGGTTGTCTCAGCAGGCTCAGCGGTTGTTATGTCAGTGGGATTGGTTGGTTCAGGGACAGACGTTGTCACAACAAGTCCAGACGTAATTGAATCAGTATGACCTGTTAATTCAGGTACTGAGGTGGTACCAGTAGGCTCAGAGGTTAATGCGTCTGTTGGACCTGTAGGTTGAGATGTTGATAGGGTCTCCGAAGGCTGTGATGTTAATGTGTCTGTCTGAGCAGTTACGTCTGGTAATGTGGTTGTCTCAGCAGGCTCAGCGGTTGTTATGTCAGTGGGATTGGTTGGTTCAGGGACAGACGTTGTCACAACAAGTCCAGACGTAATTGAATCAGTATGACCTGTTAATTCAGGTACTGAGGTGGTACCAGTAGGCTCAGAGGTTAATGTGTCTGTTGGACCTGTAGGTTGAGATGTTGATATGGTCTCCGAAGGCTGTGATGTTAATGTGTCTGTCTGAGCAGTTACGTCTGGTAATGTGGTTGTCTCAGCAGGCTCAGCGGTTGTTATGTCAGTGGGATTGGTTGGTTCAGGGACAGACGTTGTCACAACAAGTCCAGACGTAATTGAATCAGTATGACCTGTTAATTCAGGTACTGAGGTGGTACCAGTAGGCTCAGAGGTTAATGTCTGTTGGACCTGTAGGTTGAGATGTTGATAGGGTCTCCGAAGGCTGTGATGTTAATGTGTCTGTCTGAGCAGTTACGTCTGGTAATGTGGTTGTCTCGTCAGGCTCAGCGGTTGTTATGTCAGTGGGATTGGTTGGTTCAGGGACAGACGTTGTCACAACAAGTCCAGACGTAATTGAATCAGTATGACCTGTTAATTCAGGTACTGAGGTGGTACCAGTAGGTCAGAGGTTAATGTATCTGTTGACCTGTAGGTTGAGATGTTGATAGGGTCTCCGAAGGCTGTGATGTTAATGTGTCTGTCTGAGCAGTTACGTCTGGTAATGTGGTTGTCTCGTCAGGCTCAGCGGTTGTTATGTCAGTGGGATTGGTTGGTTCAGGGACAGACGTTGTCACAACAAGTCCAGACGTAATTGAATCAGTATGACCTGTTAATTCAGGTACTGAGGTGGTACCAGTAGGCTCAGAGGTTAATGTGTCTGTTGGACCTGTAGGTTGAGATGTTGATATGGTCTCCGAAGGCTGTGATGTTAATGTGTCTGTCTGAGCAGTTACGTCTGGTAATGTGGTTGTCTCAGCAGGCTCAGCGGTTGTTATGTCAGTGGGATTGGTTGGTTCAGGGACAGACGTTGTCACAACAAGTCCAGACGTAATTGAATCAGTATGACCTGTTAATTCAGGTACTGAGGTGGTACCAGTAGGCTCAGAGGTTAATGTGTCTGTTGGACCTGTAGGTTGAGATGTTGATATGGTCTCCGAAGGCTGTGATGTTAATGTGTCTGTCTGAGCAGTTACGTCTGGTAATGTGGTTGTCTCAGCAGGCTCAGCGGTTGTTATGTCAGTGGGATTGGTTGGTTCAGGGACAGACGTTGTCACAACAAGTCCAGACGTAATTGAATCAGTATGACCTGTTAATTCAGGTACTGAGGTGGTACCAGTAGGCTCAGAGGTTAATGTGTCTGTTGGACCTGTAGGTTGAGATGTTGATATGGTCTCCGAAGGCTGTGATGTTAATGTGTCTGTCTGAGCAGTTACGTCTGGTAATGTGGTTGTCTCAGCAGGCTCAGCGGTTGTTATGTCAGTGGGATTGGTTGGTTCAGGGACAGACGTTGTCACAACAAGTCCAGACGTAATTGAATCAGTATGACCTGTTAATTCAGGTACTGAGGTGGTACCAGTAGGCTCAGAGGTTAATGTCTGTTGGACCTGTAGGTTGAGATGTTGATAGGGTCTCCGAAGGCTGTGATGTTAATGTGTCTGTCTGAGCAGTTACGTCTGGTAATGTGGTTGTCTCGTCAGGCTCAGCGGTTGTTATGTCAGTGGGATTGGTTGGTTCAGGGACAGACGTTGTCACAACAAGTCCAGACGTAATTGAATCAGTATGACCTGTTAATTCAGGTACTGAGGTGGTACCAGTAGGCTCAGAGGTTAATGTGTCTGTTGGACCTGTAGGTTGAGATGTTGATATGGTCTCCGAAGGCTGTGATGTTAATGTGTCTGTCTGAGCAGTTACGTCTGGTAATGTGGTTGTCTCAGCAGGCTCAGCGGTTGTTATGTCAGTGGGATTGGTTGGTTCAGGGACAGACGTTGTCACAACAAGTCCAGACGTAATTGAATCAGTATGACCTGTTAATTCAGGTACTGAGGTGGTACCAGTAGGTCAGAGTTACTGTATCTGTAGACCTGTAGGTTGAGATGTTGATAGGGTCTCCGAAGGCTGTGATGTTAATGTGTCTGTCTGAGCAGTTACGTCTGGTAATGTGGTTGTCTCGTCAGGCTCAGCGGTTGTTATGTCAGTGGGATTGGTTGGTTCAGGGACAGACGTTGTCACAACAAGTCCAGACGTAATTGAATCAGTATGACCTGTTAATTCAGGTACTGAGGTGGTACCAGTAGGCTCAGAGGTTAATGTGTCTGTTGGACCTGTAGGTTGAGATGTTGATATGGTCTCCGAAGGCTGTGATGTTAATGTGTCTGTCTGAGCAGTTACGTCTGGTAATGTGGTTGTCTCAGCAGGCTCAGCGGTTGTTATGTCAGTGGGATTGGTTGGTTCAGGGACAGACGTTGTCACAACAAGTCCAGACGTAATTGAATCAGTATGACCTGTTAATTCAGGTACTGAGGTGGTACCAGTAGGCTCAGAGGTTAATGCGTCTGTTGGACCTGTAGGTTGAGATGTTGATAGGGTCTCCGAAGGCTGTGATGTTAATGTGTCTGTCTGAGCAGTTACGTCTGGTAATGTGGTTGTCTCGTCAGGCTCAGCGGTTGTTATGTCAGTGGGATTGGTTGGTTCAGGGACAGACGTTGTCACAACAAGTCCAGACGTAATTGAATCAGTATGACCTGTTAATTCAGGTACTGAGGTGGTACCAGTAGGCTCAGAGGTTAATGCGTCTGTTGGACCTGTAGGTTGAGATGTTGATAGGGTCTCCGAAGGCTGTGATGTTAATGTGTCTGTCTGAGCAGTTACGTCTGGTAATGTGGTTGTCTCAGCAGGCTCAGCGGTTGTTATGTCAGTGGGATTGGTTGGTTCAGGGACAGACGTTGTCACAACAAGTCCAGACGTAATTGAATCAGTATGACCTGTTAATTCAGGTACTGAGGTGGTACCAGTAGGCTCAGAGGTTAATGTGTCTGTTGGACCTGTAGGTTGAGATGTTGATAGGGTCTCCGAAGGCTGTGATGTTAATGTGTCTGTCTGAGCAGTTACGTCTGGTAATGTGGTTGTCTCAGCAGGCTCAGCGGTTGTTATGTCAGTGGGATTGGTTGGTTCAGGGACAGACGTTGTCACAACAAGTCCAGACGTAATTGAATCAGTATGACCTGTTAATTCAGGTACTGAGGTGGTACCAGTAGGTTCAGATGTTACTGTATCTGTAGATCTGTAGGTTGAGATGTTGATAGGGTCTCCGAAGGCTGTGATGTTAATGTGTCTGTCTGAGCAGTTACGTCTGGTAATGTGGTTGTCTCAGCAGGCTCAGCGGTTGTTATGTCAGTGGGATTGGTTGGTTCAGGGACAGACGTTGTCACAACAAGTCCAGACGTAATTGAATCAGTATGACCTGTTAATTCAGGTACTGAGGTGGTACCAGTAGGCTCAGAGGTTAATGCGTCTGTTGGACCTGTAGGTTGAGATGTTGATAGGGTCTCCGAAGGCTGTGATGTTAATGTGTCTGTCTGAGCAGTTACGTCTGGTAATGTGGTTGTCTCGTCAGGCTCAGCGGTTGTTATGTCAGTGGGATTGGTTGGTTCAGGGACAGACGTTGTCACAACAAGTCCAGACGTAATTGAATCAGTATGACCTGTTAATTCAGGTACTGAGGTGGTACCAGTAGGCTCAGAGGTTAATGTGTCTGTGGACCTGTAGGTTGAGATGTTGATATGGTCTCCGAAGGCTGTGATGTTAATGTGTCTGTCTGAGCAGTTACGTCTGGTAATGTGGTTGTCTCAGCAGGCTCAGCGGTTGTTATGTCAGTGGGATTGGTTGGTTCAGGGACAGACGTTGTCACAACAAGTCCAGACGTAATTGAATCAGTATGACCTGTTAATTCAGGTACTGAGGTGGTACCAGTAGGCTCAGAGGTTAATGTGTCTGTTGGACCTGTAGGTTGAGATGTTGATATGGTCTCCGAAGGCTGTGATGTTAATGTGTCTGTCTGAGCAGTTACGTCTGGTAATGTGGTTGTCTCAGCAGGCTCAGCGGTTGTTATGTCAGTGGGATTGGTTGGTTCAGGGACAGACGTTGTCACAACAAGTCCAGACGTAATTGAATCAGTATGACCTGTTAATTCAGGTACTGAGGTGGTACCAGTAGGTTCAGAGTTACTGTATCTGTGAATCTGTAGGTTGAGATGTTGATAGGGTCTCCGAAGGCTGTGATGTTAATGTGTCTGTCTGAGCAGTTACGTCTGGTAATGTGGTTGTCTCGTCAGGCTCAGCGGTTGTTATGTCAGTGGGATTGGTTGGTTCAGGGACAGACGTTGTCACAACAAGTCCAGACGTAATTGAATCAGTATGACCTGTTAATTCAGGTACTGAGGTGGTACCAGTAGGCTCAGAGGTTAATGCGTCTGTTGGACCTGTAGGTTGAGATGTTGATAGGGTCTCCGAAGGCTGTGATGTTAATGTGTCTGTCTGAGCAGTTACGTCTGGTAATGTGGTTGTCTCGTCAGGCTCAGCGGTTGTTATGTCAGTGGGATTGGTTGGTTCAGGGACAGACGTTGTCACAACAAGTCCAGACGTAATTGAATCAGTATGACCTGTTAATTCAGGTACTGAGGTGGTACCAGTAGGCTCAGAGGTTAATGTGTCTGTTGGACCTGTAGGTTGAGATGTTGATATGGTCTCCGAAGGCTGTGATGTTAATGTGTCTGTCTGAGCAGTTACGTCTGGTAATGTGGTTGTCTCAGCAGGCTCAGCGGTTGTTATGTCAGTGGGATTGGTTGGTTCAGGGACAGACGTTGTCACAACAAGTCCAGACGTAATTGAATCAGTATGACCTGTTAATTCAGGTACTGAGGTGGTACCAGTAGGTTCAGATGTTACTGTATCTGTATCTGTAGGTTGAGATGTTGATAGGGTCTCCGAAGGCTGTGATGTTAATGTGTCTGTCTGAGCAGTTACGTCTGGTAATGTGGTTGTCTCAGCAGGCTCAGCGGTTGTTATGTCAGTGGGATTGGTTGGTTCAGGGACAGACGTTGTCACAACAAGTCCAGACGTAATTGAATCAGTATGACCTGTTAATTCAGGTACTGAGGTGGTACCAGTAGGCTCAGAGGTTAATGCGTCTGTTGGACCTGTAGGTTGAGATGTTGATAGGGTCTCCGAAGGCTGTGATGTTAATGTGTCTGTCTGAGCAGTTACGTCTGGTAATGTGGTTGTCTCGTCAGGCTCAGCGGTTGTTATGTCAGTGGGATTGGTTGGTTCAGGGACAGACGTTGTCACAACAAGTCCAGACGTAATTGAATCAGTATGACCTGTTAATTCAGGTACTGAGGTGGTACCAGTAGGCTCAGAGGTTAATGCGTCTGTTGGACCTGTAGGTTGAGATGTTGATATGGTCTCCGAAGGCTGTGATGTTAATGTGTCTGTCTGAGCAGTTACGTCTGGTAATGTGGTTGTCTCAGCAGGCTCAGCGGTTGTTATGTCAGTGGGATTGGTTGGTTCAGGGACAGACGTTGTCACAACAAGTCCAGACGTAATTGAATCAGTATGACCTGTTAATTCAGGTACTGAGGTGGTACCAGTAGGCTCAGAGGTTAATGTGTCTGTTGGACCTGTAGGTTGAGATGTTGATATGGTCTCCGAAGGCTGTGATGTTAATGTGTCTGTCTGAGCAGTTACGTCTGGTAATGTGGTTGTCTCAGCAGGCTCAGCGGTTGTTATGTCAGTGGGATTGGTTGGTTCAGGGACAGACGTTGTCACAACAAGTCCAGACGTAATTGAATCAGTATGACCTGTTAATTCAGGTACTGAGGTGGTACCAGTAGGTTCAGATGTTACTGTATCTGTGATCTGTAGGTTGAGATGTTGATAGGGTCTCCGAAGGCTGTGATGTTAATGTGTCTGTCTGAGCAGTTACGTCTGGTAATGTGGTTGTCTCGTCAGGCTCAGCGGTTGTTATGTCAGTGGGATTGGTTGGTTCAGGGACAGACGTTGTCACAACAAGTCCAGACGTAATTGAATCAGTATGACCTGTTAATTCAGGTACTGAGGTGGTACCAGTAGGCTCAGAGGTTAATGTGTCTGCTGGACCTGTAGGTTGAGATGTTGATATGGTCTCCGAAGGCTGTGATGTTAATGTGTCTGTCTGAGCAGTTACGTCTGGTAATGTGGTTGTCTCAGCAGGCTCAGCGGTTGTTATGTCAGTGGGATTGGTTGGTTCAGGGACAGACGTTGTCACAACAAGTCCAGACGTAATTGAATCAGTATGACCTGTTAATTCAGGTACTGAGGTGGTACCAGTAGGCTCAGAGGTTAATGTGTCTGTTGGACCTGTAGGTTGAGATGTTGATATGGTCTCCGAAGGCTGTGATGTTAATGTGTCTGTCTGAGCAGTTACGTCTGGTAATGTGGTTGTCTCAGCAGGCTCAGCGGTTGTTATGTCAGTGGGATTGGTTGGTTCAGGGACAGACGTTGTCACAACAAGTCCAGACGTAATTGAATCAGTATGACCTGTTAATTCAGGTACTGAGGTGGTACCAGTAGGCTCAGAGGTTAATGTGTCTGTTGGACCTGTAGGTTGAGATGTTGATATGGTCTCCGAAGGCTGTGATGTTAATGTGTCTGTCTGAGCAGTTACGTCTGGTAATGTGGTTGTCTCGTCAGGCTCAGCGGTTGTTATGTCAGTGGGATTGGTTGGTTCAGGGACAGACGTTGTCACAACAAGTCCAGACGTAATTGAATCAGTATGACCTGTTAATTCAGGTACTGAGGTGGTACCAGTAGGCTCAGAGGTTAATGCGTCTGTTGGACCTGTAGGTTGAGATGTTGATAGGGTCTCCGAAGGCTGTGATGTTAATGTGTCTGTCTGAGCAGTTACGTCTGGTAATGTGGTTGTCTCGTCAGGCTCAGCGGTTGTTATATCAGTGGGATTGGTTGGTTCAGGGACAGACGTTGTCACAACAAGTCCAGACGTAATTGAATCAGTATGACCTGTTAATTCAGGTACTGAGGTGGTACCAGTAGGTTCAGATGTTACTGTATCTGTAGAATCTGTAGGTTGAGATGTTGATAGGGTCTCCGAAGGCTGTGATGTTAATGTGTCTGTCTGAGCAGTTACGTCTGGTAATGTGGTTGTCTCGTCAGGCTCAGCGGTTGTTATGTCAGTGGGATTGGTTGGTTCAGGGACAGACGTTGTCACAACAAGTCCAGACGTAATTGAATCAGTATGACCTGTTAATTCAGGTACTGAGGTGGTACCAGTAGGCTCAGAGGTTAATGTGTCTGTTGGACCTGTAGGTTGAGATGTTGATATGGTCTCCGAAGGCTGTGATGTTAATGTGTCTGTCTGAGCAGTTACGTCTGGTAATGTGGTTGTCTCAGCAGGCTCAGCGGTTGTTATGTCAGTGGGATTGGTTGGTTCAGGGACAGACGTTGTCACAACAAGTCCAGACGTAATTGAATCAGTATGACCTGTTAATTCAGGTACTGAGGTGGTACCAGTAGGTTCAGATGTTACTGTATCTGTAGAATCTGTAGGTTGAGATGTTGATAGGGTCTCCGAAGGCTGTGATGTTAATGTGTCTGTCTGAGCAGTTACGTCTGGTAATGTGGTTGTCTCGTCAGGCTCAGCGGTTGTTATGTCAGTGGGATTGGTTGGTTCAGGGACAGACGTTGTCACAACAAGTCCAGACGTAATTGAATCAGTATGACCTGTTAATTCAGGTACTGAGGTGGTACCAGTAGGCTCAGAGGTTAATGTGTCTGTTGGACCTGTAGGTTGAGATGTTGATATGGTCTCCGAAGGCTGTGATGTTAATGTGTCTGTCTGAGCAGTTACGTCTGGTAATGTGGTTGTCGACAGCTGGTGATCATACATTTTGGAATATTCTGGGAATAGAAAGTAAAAAAAGATCAAACGGTGTAGAGGTTGCTTTAAAGAGATCTTTGACCTAATTGTATTTCTAAATATATTACATTGAATTTGACTACACCAGTCTGAAATACACCTGAACTTTCCTCCAACAAATACCCAGAGAGGTGGGCCAAGAAATGACAAAAGTGAGTGATGTTGAAGGCATGGCCAGATGCATTGCATATTAATGCGGTTTTCATAATGGTACAAGAACAAATCTAGCAGCAAATCAATTGGTGATAGCTGTTAAATTCTTGTGACTTTGTGATTGGTTTGAAAGCATCTTTTGAAAATGTTCTGAAAAATAGCTTGCAACAAGAAATGTTAAATAACAAATGTAAGAAAGAATGTAGAAAATATCTGAAAATAACTAAGCTAAAAACACAATTTACTGATTACTGCATTAAATTCCATTATATTTTATTCTGAATTGTCACCAGCCACTTGAATTTTGTGTAAAGACATTTCCACCGTAAATTTGTGCAGAAGGTCTCAAGTGTTTTGTCACAGCTCTAACCTGAGCCCTGTCTCTTTCCCCACCACTTTTAAACACAAAGTGAAGCCCTTGCCCATCTTTAACTGTCATTTGCCTATTAAAGTTTTTGCAGTGTTGATAACACATGGGGGCGTGGGTTCATGGGGGCAGCTGTGGCCCAGGAGGTAGAGCAGGTTGCCTGTTAATCTGAAGGTTAGCAGTTCAAACCTCCCATGTCGAAGTGTCCTTGGGTAAGACATTGAACCCTGAATTGCCCAAGGTGGCTGTTCCATCAGTATGAATGTGTGTGAATGTTAGTTTCTGTTTGAGCACTTAGGCTCAGTGTATGAATGTGTGGAATTGGTGAATGCAATGTAGTGTTAAAGCGCTTTCAGTGGTTGCAAAGACTAGAAAGGCTCTATACCGAGCATTTACATAGCCTAAGCAGTTTCTATTCTAGTCTCTAGTACATGTAGTGAGTGTAGTGCTGCTTAAGGGACTTCACTCGGATTGCTTGGGGACCGGTGAGTATGAGGCTGGGAGGGCGTATAGGGAGTATACTCACTACAAAAAACTAGATTGTACCACAATTTAGAAAGACAACCTTTGGTCAGTCCATTTTCTCTGTTAAAGTGGGGAAGTGGAATTCTGTATTAGAAACTCAGGAAGTTTAAAGCCACTGACTGCATTGTGTTTTTTGTATTTTGTATGTATCAAATTATTTTTTTATCAATTTCACATTGATGGCCATAATGTATAGTGCCATTGTGTGTAGTGTATTTGTTGTCAGTGTTTGTTTTGTGTCTTTCTTTTTGTTTTGTTTCTGATACTTGGCAGAAGGGAGTCACAAACTCAATTTCATTTTGCAACCTATTTTAATTTGACAAATAAATCTACCTTATACCTTACCACAGTGAAGTAAAACTTGGCAATACATTATTACTGTTGATATTTTCCATGAAGGAAACAAATTAGGTAGTACAAAACAAAAAAGGACTTTATAAAAAAACAGATTGACAGAAATGTCTGTCATTTGAAGTGAGGTGAATGTGCTTAGTTTGAAATTTGTGTAAAGTTTCAGGTGACATTAGCGAGGAATAGCACTACTTAGTGTACCCAGCATTCCCTAGTCTAGATTCTCCCCTTTCTTCCACGGACAATATCAAAGTCAGACGCAGGTTGGATTACTCTAAAGTGCGATCTACACCAAGAATGACTGAACTAAAACAATAACTTTATCGTAATATTGAACTCTAGTGGATGGCGTAGTCCACACTGTATACTGAACAACAAACAAGGTGTTTCAGATTTTTTTCCATTTATTTTTCCATTTATTTATTTTTTTACCATTGCATAAAGTAAATAGTCAAAATGTGCTTTTGACTCAGTTTTTCCACAGAATATGGAGAGACTATGGTGGTGAGTCCAAGACCTGAGAGGGTACGGCAAAGTAAATTACATGTGTCCATTTACTTTTAATGGACACATGTAATATGTTTTATACTTTCTGTGAATATAATCCAATTAATCTTATTTCCATACTGCATAGAAACCTTATTTTGAAAACCGTACGTTGTCACATGTGTGACCTGGAACTAAGTTAATCAAGTCCGACCCAATTTGATAAATACTGTATGTGGTTCTTGTATCGCGTAACATGAAAACTTCATAGCCTCTTCAGGTATTACAGTAACGCGTTAACAATGCATTAACAACGCAGTAGTAACACATTGTAATATTAATTTTCCCAGTAACTAGTAGTGTACTGATTACTTTTCCAAAATAGTAATATTACACTTACTACGTTACTGATCACACCATCCTTGATGTGAATGCACAACTGCACGGCAGGTCAGCGGCACCGGACCTTATGTTGTTTAGGTCAGCTGTTAGCCAAAAAGTTAAAGGAAGAATGGAGAAGGAGGGAGAGAGGTGTTCTTTCCACAGATGTATCACCGTTATTGTGTGTTTTGTGTGTTTTTTTAAGGAGTAATGAGTAACTAGTAACTTATTACAATTTCTGAGTAACTTGCCCAACACTGGTTGCCACTAAGTGGCGCTATGACTTTGAGTGAATATTGATATATGGATGTGTTCAGGGCAGGACTGTTGTCCAAAATGTCAAATTTGGTGCAGATTTGAGCATGTACACTGAAGTGACACACCCTTTCACAAAAACTCACAGCACAATTTTCATTGTCAATGCCTTTACATTGCACAGCAAAAATTTGAAGTTGATCGGATCAATTCTGTAGGAGGAGTTCATTAAATTACGGAACCTGTTAATTGTCAAAAAGGACAGTAAATTCAAAATGGCCTAGTTTCTGTTTAGGGCATCACTCCCAGAGATGACATGATAGACATGATAGATGTGCCACAAAAATTTCATACATTTCGGGTAAATGTGGCCTAGGGGCTGCTTTTTAGGGGATGCAAGCAGGCCATTTTAATGTTTTTTGGTTCTGTTAAACGGTATTTTTCAGCCTCAATCTTAGTAGGGGTCAACCCCTATTGTTTTCACTCAGATTTTTAGGGGTTCAAGCCTGAAGTGGGCTGGAAACCCGCGAATGCAAGGCGTTGCGGTTCCCAGTACCGCAAAGCGGCTGGGAACCCTATTGTAATCGCTCACATTTTTATTATTATACTTCCGCCTCTAATTCCACTACTGCAGCCTAGACGGTAACTGCTAGGGATGCCAAACTCACAGGGTAAGTCCAGTTCACTGCACGTAACTCAGACGCAAAAATCCGCACACTTCTACCTCTAGGGGATAGGAGCTTCTAGGAGCAAGGTCAACGCGTTTGGGCTTGGAAATCCCGCCTACGAAGGCGGATATCAAAAACCTTATATCCACGTGTTCGGGGGATCGAGCTGAATCTCGTGGTATAGGCTACGCGAAAACTGAAAAACTTATTTTAATTAACTCCTCCGAAGCTGCAAGTCCGATCAACACCAAACGTAGCATGGATAATCTCTGGACCAAGCTGATGAAAGTTTGTAGAGGAAATTAAAATATCGCAATTATATGCTAATATATCTTTGCAAAAAACGCTACTAACAGGAAATGATGTCATATCTTCGCTTTGGAATGGCCGATCGACACCAAACTTTTAGAGAATTAATGTGGGACGCCCCCTGGGGGCATGTGCAAAATTTGGTGCAACTCGCCCCTAGGTGGCGCTATTGAATCCTAAACAATTGTTCCTCTATAACCACAAGTCACATTCATGAAACCAGAATTGTTCAGCATATTCCCCTTACTACAGGCACCAATGTTCACCCAAATATGCCCATAGGTGGCGCTGTAATTGCACATTAAAGACGTAAAAAGAAATCCCATTGACTTATATGCATTTTATCTCCATAACCACAAGTCCGATTGACACCAAATTTGGGTCAAGTGTTCCCCATGGGGCCCTTATGACACCTGCAATTTGGCCTAAAGGTGGCGCTATAATTGAAGCTCAAATACCGTCAGACAATCACATTCATTTCAGTGGGATTTTCAACCAAAGGACATTTTGCCTCATAACTACGGCCCACTACATCGCACATTCATAAACCTTATGTCTACGTGTTTGAAGAATGCTGCCGATTCCTATCATATAGGACATGCCTCTGTGCGATGACGTTTTCATTTTGCTAAATTGCAAAAACTGGATTTTAATTAGCTCCGACGAAGCCACAAGTCCGATCGCCACGAAACTTGGCACGGACGATCTCTGGACCGAGCCGAAGAACGTTTGTAGAGGGAATCTTGATGCACCAAAAAATGTCCCAATTACAAGCAAACAAATGTTTCCGCAAACGCTAAAAACAGGATGTCATGTCAGATCTTACGTTTGCAATATCCGATCTACACCAAACTCGGGGACCTTATCTGCCACGGCCTCCTGAGGGCCTGTGTGAATTTTGCCATCAATCGACCTCTAGGTAGCGCTATTAATTGGAAATCAAATAACACTCCCATAGACATACATTCATTTCAGATCTCCATAACCACAAGCCCCTTTCATTTATAACTCTGCTCACCAAAATCAACGGGAGCGGGATCAAGAAAACAGTCCCGCGCTGGTCTCTACTAGCCAGCTAATGCTGCTAAAAGGATGTGATGATATTATTGGTTGAAAATTGGTTGGTTCAGGCTTACATAAGCACATGTCATATTTTGTTTTACAAGAATAAAATGTGATTGGATTTTAATATAAAAATACAAAGAAATACAAAGATTGTTTGTATTTTTATGTTGTTAAATAGGCGCACAATATGACCAAGGATGTGACCTAAAAGGGTTAAGAGGGCCTTTTTCCATTTAATCTCCACTTTAAGCCTAACCACATGCAGGACGCAAGAGTCTCGTGTCAAAGCCCTGCATTCTGTATGCCCCAAATCCATTCCCACCATCTCCATTTAATTCCTATGTATTACAAAAACACCTTTTGGACTTCAAAATCCATTACTAGTGAGCATTATCCAAGCAGCAATTATTTTCCGTCCAAA